AAAAGTAGACTATAGAGAAGTCCCCTCCAAACAAGGAGCCATTTCACTATGAATTCCCCACATTAAGTGTCAAGCCCTCATTATGCCTGCAGGTACCAAGCAAGACAGGTCCACCAAGCTCTTTTCTGTCCCATAAGGAAGTACATAGAAGGAAGGGAAGTTAGACAGGAGAGAGAGTTGACAAAATAGGGAAGGCTCACAAACAGCACAAGCTATTCCTGGCCCTATGTTCTCTTCAGCTGTACTTCAGGCACAAGTCAGGCTTGTTATTCTCTACTTGCATGAACACCCCTCCAAAAACCAGCATAATCCACCAATTCAGCAGCTGGCTCTAAGAGCTGCCTTGGGACTCCCCGTAACTGGGCTTGGTGAGTCACCTTCAAAAGCATGTCAAAAGTTTATAATTAAGTCTGCAGTTTATTAACAATGTACCTCTTATTCAAAATAGGATACAAAAGGCATGCAATATATTTACTGAAATCACCTGTTTTGGAAGTCTCAAATAAATAAAACTACCTAGGTGCACGTATGACCAGATGACTGAATTACACCTTCAGGCAAATCTGGACCAAGTTTGCCACAATCATTTCATTTTCCAAACCTACACTTTCGATGCAAAGGTCCCAGGTACAATTCTCCAGGCTGTGAATCACAGATGACCAATCTAGATTATATTTGTCCTTTCCAGTGGAAAGTTACTAAATATCTGCCAATTGAACAGCAGCACATTCTGTCTACTTTTTTTTTTTATGTACTAGAAAAGTGTTCAACACGTTTTTCAATCCAACAGGAGGATCTTAAGTCACCCAGTACCACAAGAAAAGCTGAATTGTTATACACACCTGGGTACATATTCTTCCCATCTCCTTCAGAGGAAACTTTTCTCACTCTTCCACATGGAAAATGAAATACAAGGTACAAATGTTGGATCCATAATCCCTTACTTCTCCTCAGCTCTGAAGCCTCAAATTCCACTCTAGATCATGTCATGACACATCTAGCTGTGCCAAAAGAAACTAGGTCTAAAGGAGTATCTAGTCAAACATCACGAATGTGTGTTTATACCAAGTCTGTTCCTTTTAAAGATGACTACATCTTACTATTTTCTGATAGCACTCCTTTTCTGATAAGGTCACCAACTTTACTGAAACAGTCAGGTTCCTCTTGGAGTATGCAAAGCATAACACTGGAAGGGAACATGACCTTTCAGACAGACTAAAAAAAAATTAAAAAAAAATTAAGAGAACAACCCAGAAGGTCACCCTTACTACAGTTCAGAGACTACCTGCCTTCAGAAAGCAAACTCAAAGCATGGAAGTCACCATAGTGCACCAAAAGCACTAGCAGAGGTTGCAAAATCAGATTCCTTTGTTCTGCTGGTGATTTTCACCTTAGATTGCTTCAATATCACCTTTGATTCTAGATCCTGATATTACCTCCCAATTCTCTGCTAAAAATTACTTCTACTCTTAAGCAGTCTAAGTTTTTTTCTTAAACAAAGAATTAAGAACAGCTTCCACTCCAAGGTTAAAACATTTCCCTCTCCATGCACAACTAAAATTTTGTCCCAGCTTTAAACCAAAGCATTACATGTGAGCAATAAACGGTCTCTCCGAACACTTAACTTGCAGTCAAATGGAACACAAAAAGGCTAAATAGGAAGCCATAATCCAGTAGCTCCAGGTTCCTTAACTCTCATCAACTGAATCTGCAAATCTAGAGCATGGGGAAAATCCGAATGGCTAAAGCTAAAGATCACTAGTGCCATCTGGAGGCCATACAGAACAGCCCACCTGATGTTTTGTCAACCTCTGCTCACCTTGAATGTTGTCCTCCCAAGAGAGCTTGGACAGCGCTTGCTGCACGAACACATCAACTCTACAGTCACAGAAGATGGGAAAAGCTTAAGGGTAATTAAAGATACTGGTTGCAATAAGCTTATACCTATCATGTGAAACCAGTCAACTATAAGGCTGACTGTAGCTGACACTTCAGCTGAAATTGCTCAGTGGGCAATTGAAGCTTAGTAACAGAACTAGAACTACTCTCCAGAGTCAGGACCTTGGAAGAGAGATAACATCTCATTATTTCCTCTATACCAGTTTCCCAGTTGTACTGGTAGAGCTGACTTATACCACAGAATATATTAAGATACCTAATATCCCATTTATTCTCCATATACTATCTACCTCTCACAGAGAGCTGTAAGATGGGATGCAATTTGAAGGAAAGGATAACTACCATTTGGTAATACTGTGGTGTCCTGTTCCACTTCCCTTGTATGTCAACACCATGTGCTTCAGATTTGATTATCATTTAAACAAATGAAATCTAAACACACATAAAACTGTTCAGGATTTCAGAATGCTGAAAAGTGATTTGCAAGTATTACTGCCACACGGGATCTTAGCAAGATGGAGAGTCCAAAATTGTTGAGACTGATGCTTCTGGATGGATATCCAGAAAGAAAGTTTAAGTTAATTGTTCAGGGTTGACTACAACACTGTTTCAAGCTCTAGAATTGAATACTCTGACTGTCAAAAGAACAAAGGAATTCAGCCAGACAGCCTCCAGGTTATCAAGCACAGACTCTGGCTCACAAATTATCACAGATTCATAGAATATCCTGAGTTGGAAGGGGCTCACAAGGATCATCAAAACCCAATGCCTGGTCCCACACAGGACAGCCCAAAGACTCACATCATGTACCTGAAAGTGTTGTCCAAATGCTTCTTGAACTCTGGCAGGCTTGGTGCTGTGACCACTTCCCTGGGAAGCCTGTTCCAGTGCCAAACCACCCTCTGGGTGAAGAACCTTTTCCTAATATCCANGAACTCTGGCAGGCTTGGTGCTGTGACCACTTCCCTGGGAAGCCTGTTCCAGTGCCAAACCACCCTCTGGGTGAAGAACCTTTTCCTAATATCCAACCTAAACCTCCCCTAAGAACAGATCTAACTGTTGTGTTCAACTCCTTAATGCACGGGTATAAAAACAGAGCCAGACTTTTCTCAAAGGTGCATAGCAGGACAAGAGGCAACAGTCAAACTGCAACAAGGGAAATTCTGGTTAGATATAAAAAACGCAGACACAGTGAGAATGATCAAATGTTGAAACAGGTTGTCAGGAAAACTACAGAAATTCCATTCTTGGAAGATACTAAAAACTTTATGGTATAAGGCTGCAGAGCATGTGCCCAAACTTTGAAGGTCTTAAGAAGGAGGTTGGACTAAAAAACTCCAGACTTCCCTTTCCACCTAAATAATTTGATGATTGTGTCTTAAGGGATTCACCAGAACTGTCTAATCCGTGTATTTCAGCAAGAAGAATATACTTATGTCCTTCCTCATTTACTTCCCCAGACCTCTAATATTGGACTGGAATTGTTAAAACAAAAACAAACAAACAAAAAACCCGACATCCCAAACCATACACAGCCCCGTTTACACTTCCTCCTTCCCCACCACAAGGAAAATATGCTACTCTACTGTCAGAGATAAAAATGCACACTTATCCTCAGAGTAGAACACTTGTGTTTATACAGATGGATTTTTCCAGAAGTAAACTCCTACAACAAGATCAGCAGAACCACCTTTAAGACATTAATGATGGTGCAAATCCTGTTTTGAAGGCCTGCTATGCACTGCCCATTCTAAGAACATCCTGCCAAAAACTCTTTTTTCCCCTTCTCCACTTTCCAAAAACATGCAATATTAGCAATTAACAATTTAATTGCCAATTCTCAAGAGAAAAGTCTTGCATGCCACATATGCTTAAGGCTCCCTTTCTAGAGTGAATACAGTTGTCAAGCTTTCCACTGATGAAGATGAGCTTCTCTGTTCTGCCTCCCTTTAGGGAAACAATCTCTTCACATTATCTTTGAAGCCAGAGGCACATCACAACACACCTGAAGGGTATTCATCTATTTAAAGGGCGATATTTCTTGTGGGATCATTATTAATGTATTCTTTGGGATTCATTATCTGCTTTGGATAAAGATAATTTGGATTGAGTATCTACCCAAGTCAGAACCACGGCAGGCACGAACCCTAGAGATATTCACTCTGAATACATCGTATGCGCTTATAAGACAGATACAGCATTACTTAAAACTGTGCAGAAGACAGTCCTAAGGTGCTCTTTTCTCTAACATAACTATAGTTAAAATTCTAATCTGTTGGAAATTCAGAGGGGTGATTGCTTCAAATTTATTACTTACGGCACCAAGCCTGTCTGAGCTCAAGATGCATTTGTACAACGCTCTCAGGCACATGGTGCGATTCTCGGGGTGTCCTGCGCGGGGCCAGGAGTCAGGCTTGATGGTCCCAATGGGTACCTTCCAAATCAGCATATTCTATGATTCTATAAATATTTAGCTAAACTTCTGTGATGAAGAGAAACAGGTCCTTTTGGCAGATAAATACTCTTCCTGGGGAATTTTTGGTATCTTTCATGAAAATTAGTATCTTGCAGAGTAAAACCATTGAAGTAGTTTAAACTCACTTACTGGATACTGCAGAAAATACAAATACTGACTTAGTATTTAGAAGAGTAGTTTAAAGTATTAAAACAATCACCAATACAGCCATCAACAGTTCTCTGACTGCTCTTCTTTTTTAAGATAAATTTGAGAAAGCCTGGATTCCCTTCACCTTGGAGAATGGAGAAGGGGCACAAAGGCACCAATAATCTAAAGAAGTTTCAAGAAGAATCCAACCTTGAGAATGAACATGCCAATGACGATGTGCTTGGCCATTCAACCCTTAAGAGTTGAAAACTTGCTTTATTTATTACATATGTAATAAAATTCCTCACTCAAGATCTAATAATCTATATAAAGAAAACCGATGGGAAATGGCATGATGAAGTATCATATATATATAAACTCTGCAGAATTCCCTAACTGGCACTTCCCTCATTTACTATTGTTTCAGGGGTACAGATCCAAGACACGTCTGGATCATCAAGTGCAGGTACACTGAAATAGAACAGTCGTCCCCTACCTGGCCAATCCTTCCTCATAGAGATAGATGACAAGTGGATCGTAGGATGTAACCAGAACATAGAGGCGCACATCGAATTTGAAATCTGAAATACAGTTTTCAAGAGTCAGTGACTGCAAATATCTTTCAGACATCATATCCAGTTGAGGAATTTCAACAGACCCTGAGAGTAATAAACCATTATCTGCTGCTGACATAGGTGCCTGAAGCTTTCCCAGTTGAAAGGCTTTCAGGTTTTAACGAATTCTCTAGTTACATTTTTCTGGTACTAGTCAAAGCTAGACCACTCAGTTATTCAACTAAATTACTGTAAACGTTAAAGAGATCCTCAGATGCAAGTTGGGGGAAGAGAGAAAAGCAATTCCTAAGCACACTCACCATCTATGAGCAGGGGGTTGTTGATGTAACGAGAAACCAGGATGTTGTCTTCCACAACAATCTGGCTTGGCTGCAGAGGAACAGAAAATTCAACAGTGAAAAAACAGGAGGCTTAAGGAATAAGATGACAACTAGACCAAACTCATCATTTTTTCCAGTCTTGCCCTCCTAAAGCCACCCTGTACCAATCACTACATCTGGGGAGGGAAGAAATAAAAACAAAATGAAAAAACTTAACAGTCAGTCACAACATATTTAAGGTAATTAGATCATAATCAGAAGTCTGGGAACGATTACGTTGCCAAAAAAACCCACCCATTGAATCTTCCAGTGTAATGTTCCTTAGAGTAGAATACAGATTTAGCAGCCACGTGGCAATGATGTAAAATAAGCAGGAAAAAAGACATATCTAAGAAGTGATTGTTATTCTGTTTGCTCCTCAAGGGTTAACCAAACATATAAAGGAGAGGTTTAGAAGACACTGGAAGGAACATGTAGCTACAGTTGGTAAGGAAGTCACAAGTGAAGAAAATGATTCCTCCTTTATAACAAATCCTGGGCTGGTATTCAACCTTCTTGCCTACATGAATAAATACTGACTACAGAGGCTCAGTTCAGGGCTCCTGTGCCAGGAAGAAGCTACCCTTTAGGCTCAGAACAGAAAGCTCTAACTATGACAAATATACATTGCAATGTCATGGGATCTGTTGAAAAGGCTTTTACTTTTTGCTGTATGCAAGCCTTTCTTGGGACCAGTTTTAACTAGTCGTACAAACAATTTCTTGTACATTTTCTTGTCTTCAGTTTGCAAAAGAGCCAAGATAACCACATGATCTTGCCTTTATCCAATTTTGCATGTGTTCAGCCACAACACCAGCATCATGAGCAGGAAACCTAAGCATATAAAGTGCATTTATACAGTGTGAGGGAACAAGCTAAACTTCCCTCAGCACATTACACAAAAGTGACATCCTGTTCTATTATGGATCAGAGAAATGCAAAGGTTTGTTATTTTGTTAGTGGAGGAGGGCCGCTTTTAAAAACTTTCATGATGAGATTCTAGAAGACACTCCTTTAATGGCATCACACTGAAGGAAACTGGCTTGTGGGCTAAACTAGCTGAAGTGTTTCTGGAACAGAGATAACACACAAAGGGATATTGGTCCCAGAAGGGTCTTTTCCCCAGGTCATGGTGAACTGCCATTGAGCCTGAGCTCATTCCTCCCTTTCAAGCAAAGAAAACTGAGTGCAGCTCTGGAAATACTTACCTCATACACTTGGCGAATTGCTCCCTTATTTTATGGGAAATGATCCAAGTAGAGAACAGATGAGGCAGCATGACCCCTTCAGTGCAAGGAAGGCTAAGGGGCTTCGAATGAGTGGGGAAAAAAAAATGACTCAACAGTCAGTTTCACTGCTGAGAATATTTATTGGAATCCCCTCGTGTATTTGGCTCCTTTTCAGATGTGTTTGTTACCTATGACAACCTAACTCCCTGCAAAGCCCAATAAGAGCAGAAGACAATAAAACCAGCATATTAATTCAAAGAACTACCCTCATTACACCTCAGGAAGGGCACACTGGCCTTTAGATAACAGCTTTAAGATTGACATACTTCCTACTGTATAAGGTTTCCTTTTAACTAGTCTTTTTCAAGGGAAAGAGGGAGACAAGGGGTCTGTTTGAGGACTGTTCAGGTCACACAGGGAAACAACTAAGGAGAGTTCTAGAAATCTTCCCAAGGCCAGCCTACTGTCAGCCACAAGGAGAGTATGAAGCAGCACAGCTTCCCAAACTCTCTCAGGGAGTATAAACTTACTCCTAATGAGCTAAGACTTGAAGGTAGATTGCAAGATAAGCATAGCATACAAAGAAATAGATTGCTTTTAGTTACACAGCACAGGTCCAGGTAGGCTTTGCCAGCTGCTCAGGGCTGTTGAACTGCTTACCAACATATGGTTGAAATTCAGAGTAGGGACAGTGTCTGGTTATGTTGGCCTGGAAGCCAACATAGTTTTGAACACAGCGTTACCGAAGAGCATTCCTTTTGCTGAACACTTACATTGTTTATCAGGTAGACACCTCGACCCCTGGAAGAGGCCACGGGCTTCACTATCCATGGTCCTCTGTCCTTAGAATAGGTATCTGGTTAAAGGAAAACAGCACAAGTCTGAAATACCTTCCATTTTGCTTATTTGCAGAAAAACAAGAATGTTGCCTACATTCCTAAGCCCTATGCCTCCTTTTGGCACTTCTCTCTTCAGTTCTCCCGGACGTTAGTCAAGGATATTGTGAAGCTGATCATCAACAACCCTGTGCACATAAAGCTCGATTTTGGAGCCTTTGGCCCACATCAGCTTCTTGAGGACTTACACAGGCACAGAGCAAGCAGCAGAAAGAAATCATGTGGGCTTTTTCCATTGTCTTTCCAGTTTCCTTTAATTTTGTCACCTTAAACGCTGGCATAATCAAAAGGCTAGGATATTAAAAGTAATTCCCTTTCCCCCACCCAGTTATTTTGCTTTAGGTCTGGGCATCACTAGCCATTCACTTACTGCAGAAGTCCTGATACTCTGTCGGGAGGATAAAGGTCTGAGGTAAGATATGGAATGTCTTGAATCCATGGGCCAGCTGCATACGAGTGACATTCCTGTACAGTCTGTCCTTTCGTGTCAATTCATACGACCTGAAGTCCCAAAAAAAGAGACTGTATCTATTTTTTTTCCCCAATGTTACAGCAACTCTTTATCCTAGATATTAAAGTATCTTAGATACTTTAAGTTGTCTAAACCCTAACCTGCAATACACATTAGTTTTACTGTCCTATCACTGTATTAATATCCTTTGTAGCACTTCTTGAAATTCCCAAGACAGACTGAAACACAGCAAACTGTTGGAATGCTGGTTGCAAACCTTAAAATGGGACATATGACTATCTGTAACTGAAAACCCAAAGTCCCAAGTACTTTACTTACACCATCAAATAAAGAAAATAAAATTAAAAATCGAATAAATCCAATATTTGGGCTACAGACAAGCACTTCAACTCAAACACTACCTCCCCAAAACCCCAAAGACCATTTAGAATGAAGACAGCATGTGGCACAGGCCCAGTATGTTGGGACGTTATCATGTATACTCTATTTTTTAAGGTATCTATATTCAAAGTTTTGCAAATCATCACAGAGATATTCAGCAAAACATGATATCAAGGCCTTACCTAGGGAAATGATTGACTTTCTGAATATCTGTAAGGGAACGCAGCAAGTAGGGCTTCAAGTGTGATCCTGTCCACATGAGATTATAATCAGTGCTATTAGGGTGAACCTAAAAAGCAACATAAACACACATACAAAACCACAGAACTAATGAAAAGCAACAGCACTGGTCCTTAGGTCTATGAGACCAAAGTAGTTCTAGTTTAAGACCATCTCCTCTACGCATCTCTAATATAAGAGTAACTCCAGCCAAACTCCTGCCCTAAGCTATTTCTGTCCTGGGAAATAACCGTGTCATATTTTTCTAAACAAACTTGTGAGTTTGTTCTTTTTGTAAACTATTTAAACCCAATTTTTAAAGCGTTTTATATCTCTTCAGGAAACTTGTGAGACCAATTCCTTAATCTGGTGTTATTCAGAAAAAAATCCACCCTAAACACACGTCTCAAACTGTCATTAGGGGCATACAGGAGACTTTTTAGAGAAAGATAGGTGATGGAAGAGAAATGCGAAACTCTACACCAATACTTCTGTGACCTTGTAAAGGCTGAGAGATTAATTCCTTCAGATCTTTCCAAGGGTATGAGATGAGGCTTTAAAAGCAAAAAGATTAAAAAAACATTACCAAACTTCATCATCCCTTTTTCCCTAATTTTGCAGGTTTAAGACTAAAGGGTACTCCTTTGAGAGTGCAGAATCATGGCATATTTTCAGTCTGACAGTCAGAGTACTTTAAAAAGAAAAAAAAAAAAGAATTCTCGAGGGGGTCCACAGCAGTTTCCTGGTTCTAACCCTGCAGAGTAAAAAAAAAAAAAGCCAACCCACAAACAACAAAACACAAAAAAACCCTAGAATAACAACATCATCATCATCACCTCCCAGCCCAGCACATAACCAGAGGAGAAGTTCATGGTACTCACCTCATGGAACCCATGGGCAGTCAGAATGCTTCGAACCAGCCGGCTGTCTGTTCGCACTATCTTGTAGGACATGTGGTAGCGCTCTGTTAAGAGGCAATGAGACATGATATTAGAGTCTACACCTAGAATAATAAACCAAAGTTACTCATGTTACCAAAGAAGAGAAAAGGACTCAGCATAGTACAACTGCATTTAATTCACAGAGAGTAACAGCACATAACAGGGAAAGGGTGATAGGAAATGCCTATCCATCTCTTGGAGCATTAACTCCAATGATGTCATTGAACTAACTTATCCTTAGTTATAAAATAGTTGCACCACTGAACCCTATTGTATCAAAATAAAGCACAGGACATCCTAACAAATACACGAAGTATTTTTTTAAACATCCCTGTATACAGACTGTTTTATAACACTCCAAACATGATTTTAGCTCTTTCTTCTCTATTCAAGATCAGTATTTCTAGCTAAAAGTAACCTTATGCCTCTTACTGACATGGCTAGCTTATATGATCACCTTTTAGATCACAACAACCCAAAATAAAAGACAATTTTTGTTTACATCTCATCCACCTGTATTGATCTTCCAACAAATAACTGCAAAATGTATCAGGATATAAAGTAAATAGGACAAGGAGATAAAAAGATAAAATCAATACCCAAGTAGAAAGTCATAAAAACAAAAGCAGTAAACTCTACTGGAGGTATAAGGTAAACTTAAAGCAAGTAGCAAGACTAGAAGCCAGTTGTCATATAAAACAATGTGGCAATCCATAAAAGTTCCAAGAGAGAAGAGACAGAAATTGCAATGCTAGAATGACTCAAAAAGGCACTTTAAAAATTGGTTCAAACTGAGAATAAAAAGGTGGAGATTAGATTAAACCTCAGGAAATATGTTCTATCCACAAAAATAAGTCAAAAGAGTAAGAAGTATCATAATCTGGGACCAGACAAAGCAGAAGGAAACTTAATGAGTTGCACTATTCAGCAGTAGACTTGTTAAATCACTTGAGAAAAAGCAGAAGAGACTCCACACTCCAGTTAGAATACAAGTTACAATTACCATCGGCTTCTGCCACCATCCACGTATGTTTCTAACTCACATGAAAAGGATCAGGAGTTTCCACATATAAATCACCTTCTCCACCCCTTACCCCAGTGAGCCAGAAGCATTTCTGCTTGGATAGCATATTAGAAATGAAGGCATCAATTACCTAAGAAAGGAAGAAGCAAGAGAGGAAAGAAGTGTCAGCACCTTCACAGAAAGAAGATTTTAAGGTTTTCTCCAACTCAGCACATCCAAAATAAGCACCCAGCTGTACACACCCAAAAGTACTAACTCTCTCAATTCAAAGTGATTGTTTTTAACAAGCTAGCCTCTTATTTAGAGGCTCTCCCTTATTTGACACAAGACAGGTTTGGTCTCCCAGTTCAAGTGCTGCCAGCAATCATTTTGCTTATGGCCTTCTCTCACTTGTGAGGCTGTAGATGCACAGATCTGTTACTACAGCTTATTACTGTTCATACAACTGTGAGGTTGGTTGCTTTATTTCCCAGTGAAACCACCTCAAAACTCACTGCAATGACTGATTTTAAAGTTCTTAGCTATAGTGAATTTATATTCTGGTTCTAAATTCCAGCATAGCCTCCACGTTCAATTTGAAAGCAGACAGTTCCAACTCACAACACATCAAGAACCAACGGAGGGACAAACACAGACACTTGTCACAATCCAAAAACATCATACACATTCACCAGTGAATCAAGCATTTCTGTACATCTCAGTGCTCAGAGACAAGAGAGGATTGCAATTTCCTTCCTACCACGTCCTCTGTCCTCTTCCACACCACAAAGAGAAGAGACTTTCACCTCATGCCTTCAGGCCGAAACCTGCCACATAGTAACACCCACCTCCAATGAGGCGGAGGTAGCTGTCCTTGGTCAGAATGGCTTCAGCATGAAACACCAAGACAGGGATCCGCCTGCAGCCACCACCGGTCCACTTGATACATGGATGATCCCTGAAATGACAAGACAGTCAGTATAAGCAACTGCTGAGCCTCATACACGCAAACGGTTACTTACAATGAGGACACAGCAATTCTCCGTACTTGCCCATGTTTGCCTACCTAGCCTTTGGGCAGGACACAAGCAAACACACCATGGCAACAGAAGGATGGTGAGGAGGATTTTAACACAGCTAAGTGACTTGCAGCTTGGATGTGGAAAAATACATGTAACATTCTAGTTGTTGTCTATCCTCGTGTGTTTGACAAGTAGGACATCTGTGGTCAGATAACACAGGATCTAATAGACTCTGAGGCACCCTACTGAACATGCCTGAAATTCCTATCCTGCTGTGGGAAAGGTCAAAGCATAGTGGTAAGCTACATCTGCAAGAATCCCTGAAAAACAGGTGTGAACAGCAGCTTCAAGTGACTCTCTAGCAAGGACCAAGCTCCACAGTGCCTGTATCCCTCCTTGCGTGCCTCTGCCCAGGTGCTGCTTTGGGGATCCCACAGTTAGCAAGGTAACGAAAATAAATTTACTCTCTGCATTTTGGCCATGATTTCATGGTTGCTCCCAAGCCCTGCCTGTGCTGACTTGCATACCCACACACACACTAGGCATCTGTGGTGGTTCCAGGTCCCACCCTAGCTGGACACCAGGTACCCACCAAAGCCACTCTATCACTCCCCTCTGCAACTGGGCAGGTGAGGAAAAAATATAATGACAGGTTCATGAGTAGAGAGAAGGGCAGGGAGAGATCACTCACCAATTACCATCATAGGCAAAACAGACTCAATCTGAGGAAATTAGCTGAATTTACTACCAATCAAAATCAGAGCAGGATAATAAGAAGTAAAACAAATCTTAAAAACACCTTCCTCACCACCCTCCCCCCTTCCCAGGCTAAACTTCATTCACAGTTCTCTACTTCCTTCCCCACAGTGGCAAAGGGAGACAGTGAATGGGGATTATGGTCAGTTCATCACATGCTGTTTCTGCCGCTGCTCAGGGAGAGGAGTCCATACCCTGCTCCAACATGGAGTCCCTCCCACGGGAGGTAGTCCTCCACAAACTTCTCCAGTGTGAGTCCTTCCCCATAGGCTACAGTTCTTCATGAACTGCTCCAGCATAGATCCCTTTCCACAAGGTGCAGTCCTTCAAAAACAGGCTGCTCCAGTGCAGGGTTGCATGGGGTCACAAGTCCTGCCAGTAAACCTGCTCCAGCATAGGCTCCTCTCTCCATGAGTCCACAAGTCCCTTCCAGGAGCCTATTCCAGCACAGGCCTTCCACAGGGTCACAACTTTCTTTTGGGCATCCACCTGCTCTGGCATGGGTCTCCTCCAAGGACAGCCTGCCACACCGTGGTCTTCACCACAGGCTGCAGGAGAATCTCTGCTCCAGTGCCTGAAGCACCTGTTCCCCTCTTTCTTCACTGACCTTGGTGTCTGCAGAGCCGTTCCTCTCACATATTCTCACTCTTCTCTGAGCACAATTACCTCTGCACAATAACTTTTTCTCTGTTATCACAGAGGCACTACTACCATCACTGATGGGCTCAGCCTTGGCCAGCACCAGGTCCATCTTGGAGCTGGCTGGCATCGGCTCTGTCAGACATGGGAGAAGCTTCCAGCAGCTTCCCCCAGAAGCCACCCTGTAGCTCCCCTGCTAACCTGGCCACGTAAACTCAATACAGCATCCTTGGTACTCAGCTATAAAGGGAATCTTCCAGATCACCCTCTTTTTGGGTTGTTCTTGCCAGCCTGAGTTCTGTTTAATTCGTATTTATTTTACTGAGTACAATTTGGGAAAAATCTCACGAGCTTTCACAGCTACAGTTCTCTGAATGTATAGCCTGAAAACAGCATCTATAATTCAGGATAAACCACAACTGCTGGTATCCACACAAGCAGCCCTTGCAATGCAGGTTTCAGCCTCCAATTTCAGAACTGCAAATCAGTGTGGTCTGCCTGGTTGTAATCCTGGACTCTGAAGTGCACAGAAAGGCACTAATGCAGAGTTTGAGAGACTAGAATAAGCTTGGCTCAACACAATGGATAAACTTGTGTGTTCTTCCTTTTTAATTCCTGTCAGATACAGTGGAACTCAAGTCCAGAATTCAAGAACAATGTCCCCAGTCCGCCACTCAAGCCACAGGCTCTGGGATACGGTCATCAGTTCTGTGCAAAACAAACAAGACAGCACTGGGAACTATCGTCTCCTCAGAGGAATTAAGAACACATCAAAGAAATTAAGACCTGTCACATGAAATTCTAAGATCACCCAAAGGAAACCTGTCAACCTCCCTAAGCAAATAAAATAGGCTGCTTATTACTCACTGCGCAAGGAGATTAAGAAAAAGTTAACAAAAAACAGAGACTGAGGAGTTGGAGAGACATCTTTATCTACACTTACAAGAAGAAATACAAAGACTGGCAGAGATACACAGAAGCATTTGTCTAAAGAATGTGCAAGATCATTGTCTGCCAAAGGTTTGGAGAAACTAGAGAAGACAAAACACTTCCAACACTTAAAACACATGAACAGAGATAAAAGGGCAGTATTCTGGTGGTGGTGCATCTCCATCCCACCTCTTCCTAGAGCTAGAACAAGGGCTCTTAAATGTAGCCTTGGTCTCTTAACCAAGTTATTACCATTATCACCCAGACAAATTAACTTCATAGCACTCCCATGTGCTTCCACTACCTCTAAAATATAGTTAAAAAAACCCCAGAACCTACTACTAGGGTGTAATTAGCTGTTAAGACTGGAAGGGACCCAAGAAGCTTCCAGAATTTACACTACAAGCCAGAGCCTTATGTAAGTGGGAAATGAGCTGAGGCAAAAGGACAGGAGTTTATATTAAGCCTGTCCTGAGGATTTGCAGCAAGGCTCAATCCTCCCACTGACAGTCATTCATTTCTAGCATAACCCTTGGCCACTTGATGCAGACACACTTTTAAAGTTACATTCTAGGTGAAGTCAGTTCTGGACCTTTCCATCCATGAGGATCTAGCAAGTCCAAGCCAACCACTTGGTATGAACTAAAATTCCTCTAAATGCCTTCAGTTGCTGCAGTTTGCAACTGGGCACTTAGGCACAACGTGCACCCAAAAGAAAACTAACAGGACATGTTACAGCTGAAAAGAAAAGGGATGCCACTCTGGCAAAGAATAAGGAAGCAACTTCTTCATAAGCAAAGATAAAACAGGTTACTAAACAAAGCTGGAACAAACATAATTACTTATACTAGTAAGTAACATGAACTCTAGCAGTTGAGTTCTCACAAGACAGTTTTTTGAAAGGACATAGAACATTGTATATCATTCTACTTTACAGATTCCTATTCTCTGCAGCACTAAAAGCTAAACCAAACCAAAACAAACAAAAAAGGACATAATCAAAAAAGTTCCCAGCTTAGGAACATGACAGAAAGAAATCAATGAAACTGCAGACTTCAGAGCAGCCAAGGAAAAGCTGCACATCCAACCCTGGTGAATATGGTGGTCTTTCAGGCTACCAATGTAGGCAGCCTGCCCACAGGCTTGAGGCCCAAACCAACCATCTTCCACTTTATAGGTAGGAGGGTAAGAAATGCATCTGTCTTTTCAGATTAGTACAAATCCTGCAGGAAGCACAGACACATAAAACAGTTCAAAGGTTTTTTCCCTACTTACTCCAGTCCATCTATAGCATCTTCCTCCTCCTCCTCTGAGGATGAGCCAGTTTCCTCCAGATCTTTAGCCATCCCAACTGGCATTTCCTCTGGGAGTTTTCATACAGCCCAGTCTCGGTAACCTCCAAAACTCCCTCCTGGAGATTCAAGGGCTCTTGCAAGAGTGGTCACCTGCAAAAAAGATTAAAAGCACGAATGCACAGCTGAACAGGGCAGCGAGAGAAGCGAGATAACTCCCACCTCCTACCAGTACATATTTCTCGCAGGACAATCAGCGAGCGTATTACAGGCTGTAAATCACCTCCTAGCCAGGAGAATAAATGAAGAACCCTCACCGTCTAAGAGATTACTCCCCACCTGCCCGTGAGATCGCCTAGAGCGTGTACCGCTGAAGCACGTCCCGTCCCGTCCTGTCCCGTCCCTGCCTTGCCCTGCCCTGCCTCTGGCCGCAGACCCGCGCCAGGCCGGCCCGGCCCAACGGGAAACACCCGCCGAGACCACCCCTTCGCCCGGGGCCAGCCGGACACCGTAACGCCTCCACCGGCCCAGGAGCGGCCCTCCGGTCCCAGGGGCGGCTGCGGCCCGGTCTACCCCGCGCCAGGCCGAGCACGGCGACATCCGGCGACCCCAGAAGCAGCAAGAACGGAGGGGACCCGCACGGCAACAAGTCGCTGTGCTCGCTGTACCTGCCCCGCGCAGCCGGACCGGGCACACCCAACGACCCCGGCCCCTCCCGCCGCTTCCCCGTTACTACAACAACCGACGGGCGGCGGCCCCGCCCCGGCGCGCAGGCGCCCCCCGCCGCCGCACTGCTCAGGCGCGCTCACCGCCCCCCGCCTCCTTCCGCGAAGGGGGTGGGGGCCGGGCCCTGGGTAGAGGTGGGGCCACCTCCCTCGCTGAGAGGGATCCGATTGGCGGGGGTGGCCCTTACGTCACGTGGCGCGCGCGTGGAGCGGAGCGCAGCGGCCAATCGCAGCCCCGCGCGGTGTCGCGCGCGGGGCGCTGCGGGAGCGCCGTCGGTAACGGGCCGAGTCCGAGCAGCGGGAGGATGAGCCGGTTCCTGAACGTGCTGCGCAGCTGGCTCGTCATGGTGTCTGTCATCGCCGCCGGGAACACCCTGCAGAGCTTCCGCGATCACGGCTTCCTCTCGGACAAGCTGTACACCGCCAGCCCCGGCCTCGGTAAGGGTCGCGCCGGCCGCCCCGGCGCCTGGAGCTCTCCTTCCAGCCATGGGCTTTGGGCTCTCCTCCGGTCCCACCTGTGGGGCCCGGGACCCGCCTACTGCGCCGCGCCGGCAGGACTGGGGGCGGCAGGCGGGGCCATGCGTGGTCTCCATGTGCTCCTTCCTTCCTTTGCGCAGTGAACGGGCTCCAGGCTCGGACCTTCGGCGTCTGGACTCTGCTGTCGTCAGTGATCCGCTGCCTTTGCGCCATTGACATCCGCAACAGGACGTATGTAAAGAAACGCCCGATCGGTTTGCTTACTAGTCATAGCCTGAGCAGCTAGCTTAGAGGGCAGCGCGGAAGAGGTGGGAAATCAAAAGCTATTCCTAAACGTCCTGTAGTGTTGACAGCCTTCCCCTGAAAAAGCTCAAACACCAGTGCAGGATTTGCGTGATAGCAGCTGCTCCCTTCTGCCTCTGTGGGGACAGCCTGTGCATTTGATTTCTGTTCTTAGCTCAGGCAGAAATCGGTAGATCTGAGAGCTTCTTACTCTCACAAGTTTCTGAGCTCCAGCTTGAAAGCGTTTTCTGATGGTGTTTCTGTTCTATTGATGAAGCAATTGCTAATGCTGATGCTCAATACTTTTTGTACTATGACAGCTCAGCTGAAGACTGTGGCAGATTGAGGCGCCCCCTTGCAGTGGCCTTAACCCACTGCCTTCTTCCCTACACGCTTACCTAGGGCGGAGGACAAGGCCTGAGGTGCAGCCTGGTGCTGAGGTGGGAGGCAGGCCATTTCTCCCTGTGCTAACAGAAATGTTTCTGAGAGGGATTTCTAAGCAGGCTGACTCAGGATCTGTGCTAGGCAAAGCCTTTATTGGAGGTTGCTAGAACACACTCTTTTGTCACTGCTTCCCTAAGCTCCACAGCAGAAGTCACTGTTCACCTGGCAGCACAAACTTGGATTGCCTAGGCTTGTCTGAGGTAGGGAGGTGCAGGGATTCAATTATATGTTTTTAGGGTGTGGCGGCACACCAAATCCCATTAAGTTGGTTGTTCCTTTGAGGGATTTGATCTTGGATCTCTTGGACCTGCTCCCTTTCATCAGCTGTGGGCCCTAGGGCATAGCAGAGCACAGGTGGGAAGACATGTTGGGTGATGCAGCCTGGAGTCAGCCAAGTCCTGTCACCCCAGTTCTCTGCTCACCCTGTTCTCACCCTCTTTTTGTGGTTTTTGTGAGAAGTTGCACATACTTCTCACTTCACTAGTGCCCTATTCGTGCTCTCCTCTCTTCACCTGCCTTCAGGCCAGATAATGCCTGTGACTTTCAATGCACCACTGAACACTCGGCCCCATTCTCCCCTCTGCTGTTGCCCAGGGAGTTTTTGCACCTCACTAGGCAAGGGACCAAGTGCCCTCTGTGCTGACAGTGAGGGCAGAGGGGACAGCATGCAGGTTTGCTTCTTTTCCACTCAGCCATACTCATGCCCATAGTATGATATGATAACCTGCTTTCTTCTGCTCTCCAACAGCCTTTATCACATCACGCTCTTTACCTTCTTTTTGGCCCTTGCTCACTTCCTCTCCGAAGTCTTTATTTACCACACTGCAGCCCTGACAATTGGAGTTATGGCACCCCTCATGGTAGCAAGTAAGTATTGCTCTGTATCCTCCCCCCACAAACTCCCCTTGGAGCTATGACCCCCCAGAAAAACTCCCCATTCAGCTACAGGCTACGGGCAGGGATGAGATGGTCCAGCATTTTCTACACAACTCATCCTGTATCTCCATTACAGGTTTCTCTATTATGGGGATGCTGATTGGGCTGCAGTACCTGGAGGTAGAAGCACTATCACAAAACAAGAAGAAAAACTGAAGATGAGGGCTCTGTATAGGTCAGCGTCATCCCCGGTCTTCACTGCCAGACTTCCACTAAAGCTCAGCTGAACTTCTCCAGGACACCAGTCCCAGTGGTGGATCAGTGTTGGACTCTGTCAATCACTGTTCATTACCAAGTCTTTTTTTCTTGTCCAGGCAACATTTCAACTGACTGATGTCAAAGACCCAGAGGAGTTTGTGTCAAGCTTGTGGGGGGCATTTGATGACTGACTCCCTGGATAGCAGGCAAAGTCTCAGGCGTGCCCAGTGCACTAAGGACTTCTCTCCCAGTGTAACTGTAGGGAGAAGGTGCAGGGCTATCCAGGATTCACTGAACACTTTGGACCAGAAAGAGAGAATAGGTGCTACCCCTGGCACTGCCGTGTAACTTGCATGTATGTGTTCATCAGGGGCCATTTCTAATAAATGACAGAAAACTGCAGCATGCTATGTTTGTCTTTCTGCTACACAGAAGTGGGTAGAGGATCAGAGCCGACAGCGGCTTGTACTGTATGTTGCAGGATACATCATCTCTCTTTACAGCAAACCTACCTTTGCCTGACTCCTTCCCACAAAGTTCCAGGTCTGACTGCTCACATCACACACGTGAAGAGGGTTGCTGCAGCTCTCCCTTCCGCAGCATGCTGGTGATAGCAAATTTGAACTATGCATCTGTGAGCAAGGACTGAACTACCTGTGTAGTGAACTATAACTGTAGAAGATGAAGAAAACATGAACAGGTTGCTTAGACCTAGACAAAATAATGCCCAAAACAGTGGGCTGCACACAGAAAGTAGGAAACAACCAGCAGGAACTCCTAGCTCGGAAGACAATTCACATGCAGAAGAAAGAGAGGAAAAACACGGAAGAAAAGAGCACAGCAGTAGCACTGGGCAGAAAAATGATTTTTCCATTCTGCAAAACATTTCAGCCTGTTAAAAGAGCTACATGTAGATTGTTTCAAATATTTAATATGAATCTGTCAGGTTTCATTGTACACTTCCAATGTGTTTACATTAAAACTTCTATTTAAAATCATTCTAAACCCCCATCCTCAATCCCAAACTACCAAAGATAGGACTTTAATCATAGAATATGCTGAATTGGAAGGGACCTATCAGGATCATCAAGTCCAATACCTGGCCTTGGGCAGGACACCCCAAGAATCACGCCATACACCTGATAGCATTGTCCAAACACTTCTTGAACTCAGGCAGGCTGCATCAAAATGCAATGTATCAAAGACTGTTATAATTTCAACCAAAAAATATTTTGTCAAAAATGGTATGTCAGAGAGCAGTATTTTTAACTGTTCCACCTCAGTGCAGTTTTTGTCCCCTCCTTCAAATGATAAATGAATAACTGCGTGATTTAAGGACACTTGATGTCTCCACCAGGGGTGGGATGCTGCAAATGAAGGAGAAGTGATGTAAGGATCTTCATTTATGTTTAGAAGATAAGCAGCATACAGATGGGTAGTGTCTATAAGACACAAATGCTGGTAAGAGGGCAGCTTCTACACTGGAGCAAATCTGGATTCCCATCATACCCCTCTCTATGGCTGTGAAAAGCAACACAGCCTTGGCTGGTTTTCTTAATATAACACTTCACAAAAGTTTCTATGTACTGTTGAAACATGCAAAAGGCACTTTTTTATTAAGATGGAAGACAGTCAAACTTGTGGGTTGACTCACTTCTATTACTAATGTAGTGATGAGCTAGGCTTAGGTTGCAGAACTAGTCTTGCCTCCAGGTAGAAGGAGGCATATTGGTATCTCTCAATTACTCCTAATATATAGGGACATCAGGCCAACCCCAGTGAATTCTGAGCAGAGGTTTATCCAGACTAAGAGTGCTTCATCTGGGAAAGCCAAATAATAAAAACAGAGCTGGCAGTGGCTGATGCACTGCTTTTCACTTGCTGGTGATGTACTGAGGCCTCCACCATCACCTGTGCAACACAGAGGATCACAGGCACCGAGGCAGAGCAATCCCTCTTCACGAGAGCTTGCTGAAAGCTCTTCCAGGTCTACGCACAAAGTGTGGTCCAGCTTCTGCATTTCATGTCCCAGTTGGCCTGTGAGAGGAGGCACAGCCACAAGCAACGTGCCACCCTCATGTGCTCAGGGCTAGCCCAGTACTGTGGCTTTTCTCAGCACATGTGCTTTTTCCAAGCATACATGGTGGGATGGGGTGGGACACAGTGGGTTTTCCCAACTTTTTCTCCCAAGCAGCAAAGTCTCTAAAATAGCAAGATGCAAAGGTATAACTGAAGAGAGCAATGCCCTTCTTGTTTTGCTCTTTCACATTCTCCAGAAGCAGCTCACTGGGCTCCTGTCCTGATGCTTCCTCCCGACCATGGGGCACATGTCACAGGAGGGTGGTGCAGGTAGCAAAGATGGGAATGAGGAGGGCTGCATCTCCCAGCTCTGCCACCCCTCCATTTCACAACCTTGATTC